CCGCCTTCAGCGGGTTGCACGCCTTTCGCTCGAAATGGCTCGGGACATGAAATGTGTGGCAAGTTGGGCCATGGGATCGAGCTCCCCATGTTCGCGCTGGAACTAGGTCAGGCTCAGGGGAACAAGTGGCCATGTTTTCCCTTGGGGCATTCCGCGCGGGCTCGAACAGGCAGCGGGCGCGGGGGGGGCGTTCGCACAGTATTCCACGCGGTCCATGACTAATGGCCCCCGCGGCGGAAGGGCCCTCAGACAGCTCGACGCGTCGTGGCCATCGTCGACGCGATTTTCTTTGCGGGGGCGCAGAACAAAGAGATCAGCAGTTTTTCTGGACGATTCTGTCGAGCTGTGCTCGAGCGTCTGGCCAGGCAGATGATCGCCCATGGCCGAGGAGGGCGATCCTTCAGAGCTTGTGGCCCAGAGCTCAATTGGAGTGGGCCGGGCGGAAGAATGGACATTCATGACGTCGGGCGCGGGCTGGATGGGGGTGGAATTCGGTCTGTGGTTATTCAGGCCAGGGCAGAGGATTTCGCCTCTCGCCTCGCGCCCCAGGAAAGTTCAAGGCCAATCCGGAGGTCGTGCCTGCGCGGAGCTGCCGAGGACTTTGACGCCGGCCATGTGCTCTGGGACAGGGCGGTCAGCGAAATCGAGGGAACGCAGTGGCGGAGGTGTGTCCAGGGGGGGGCGCGCGCCACATCGCCACCGTTTTCACCTGCCGAGGTGCCCGCGACATCCAGCCGCGTCAGTGGATTTGTGCAGCGCGCCGACATCGCGGCTGGCGCATAGTCCCTGGTGCGTGCGAGACATGGAAATGTTGCTGAAGCGCCGCCATTTACAAGGGAGGACATGTTGTTCGGTGTGAAGACGGTCCACTGCGGGCTTTGGCCCTATGCGCCAGGGGGCGAGCGCGATCCAGACGTCACATTGCAGTCCCAACAGGAGGAGATTGTGCAATTTAAGAAGGGCGAGGTCCATGAGAAAATAGGGGGGGGGGGGGGTGCTGGGCTGCGACTGGCAGCGTCGTTTGGTGCCAACACTGGCGACGGGGCGAATCCTGAGTGCCGATCCCAGCTGGCGGCCCAGCAAGTCCAATGCAGTTTCAAAGAAAAGAATGATTGCACATGCTGCCGCCCCTCCACCGGAGGCCCAAAAACTGCAGTTCACTATTGCAGTTGCCGAGGGGGGAGGCCACGGCCAACGGGGGCGCGAGCAAATAATCGAGCTGGAGCTTGCTGGCATTAATCGGGCACGTTTTCACGGCGGCGCCTAGAAAGCACGCCTTCATCGCGTTGCCCGGGGAAGATGCCGACCAGGGCATGCGTGGGTGATTATTCAAGTCAACGCGCGGCACTTCGGGGCGCCGTCTGCATCTGGGGAAATCGTTGCGTGTCTTTCGCACGCGGCGTTGGTTTGGACATCGGGGGGCGCCGCCCTGTGTGTTTAAATGTGGGAATGAGGCGAAGTTGGCCAGCGGTGCATGGGGGGTGATTTTATGTAATGGGTTTGATGTTGAACGGTTCGAAGGGGGAATGCACTGTCGGCCCGAAGTGTGCGTGGCGGACAGGCTCGGGCCAGCGCCGAGCGATTTGAAGTCCGCCGGGCTTCTGAAACGAATCGCGCAGTGATCGCAGGGCGCTTTGCGGCGTGAGGCGGATCGAAGGCATGCTTAGATATTTGCTTAAGGCGTCGGCCTGGAGCAGTGGGGGGTGGGATGTGAGGTGCCAGGTGGAAACCAGCCTTGCGAATGTGGCAAAGATGAAGAGCGCTTGCCAAGTCTCGACGTCAAGAACTAACAGGCGATAGTGTCCAAGGCAATGATGTAGCAGCACAGGACAGTTCGGATATGCAGTCTTCAATCCAGAAGCTCGGGCCTGCCATGTCCGCCCCAACCCGGAGGCCATGGACAAGTCTTGCGGCATTGGGCAAGTGCCTCAAGGACCACGTGCGGCGCGGGCATCAGCATGTGCATCAAGACCGTCCAAGGGAGAAAACTTCAGGGGCAGACGCCGACTATGCAGGCTGCAAAATGGCGCTGGTATCGACGAGCGGAGGAACAGTTATGGAGGGATCACTTGATAACATCCGTGGGTCGGGACCCAGAGTGTAGTGGCATCATCAGCATCTGGAGGAGTGGATTTTTTACACCATGGTCTAGGACGCCTCAGTCGCGTCAGGATTGCAAGCTGTTCTCGAGGGTTTCGAGACTTTTTGTGGTATTTCGCTAAGGAGCGATGCAGGCCCAGCCGCTGCCATTGCGAGCAGACGCGCGTTGGGAATCGTCAAACACCAGAGTCTGCCAGTTTTGGTTACAAGAGAGGGTGAGACGATGGGATCCTCAGAGTGGTCAAAGTAGGAACTCATGGGCACCTTGCAGACACCCAGATTCAATTTGTGAACGGGGAGAGGATGTGCATGCACATGCGAGTTTGTAACCCGTATCTTGTTGACGGAGCACAGGAGTTAGCACCGGCCATGGAGTGTTAGCTCAATAAAACCGGGGTCGGTACCGCGATCCGATTTGAGATCTTTGTGCTCGCTTGTGCGTTTTTTACACTCATGGTGATGTAGACGTTGGTGCTCTTCGACACAGGCCCCTTCGCGATGACGTCCAACCTTTCGTTGGTCGTTGTATTTCACCTGCCATGCTCGTCCAATGGAAATAGTTTGAAATCGATATGCGCCGCGTGCACCTTGTAGTTTGTATTATTGGCCATCGTTTCCATTTGATGATGACTTCTGCTGGCGCTTTTGGCGACTGGCCGTCGGTCGATGGGCGGGGTTGTTTACATTTGGGCCTCTGCGCTTGGCACGGGATGCGGCGCAGTATATCTGAACTTCACAAATCTTACGCGTTCCCGGCGAATCCGTTTCAACCCTGTTTGTAATAATTGTCAATGGCCTTTTTCAGGAGGGAAAAAACACACTGACACAACCAATCACCGATTCCCCAGAACATATGGGGAAATATGGGAAGTGTGGGGGGGGGGAAGACAAAAACTCAGAACATATGGGAACATTGGGAACATATGGGGGATACTGTTATTTGTGTGTATTTGTTTGTGTGTCCCAGGGCCCCTTCACTTGTTTGGCTCAAGTCTCCTTCGCCTTCTCGTAAAGCAACTCGTGCCAGATTTTGAGCAGGACGACGACGACGAGGACAACATCCTCCAACATCGTTTCTTGGAGCCTTGTTGGTGTATTTTGAGGGGGGGATACTTGGGTCCTTTTGGGGATCTTTTGAGGGTCTTGAATTCAGTCTGGCCTGTCCCTCTCCAGGAGGAATGTTCAAAACTAGTCAAACAGTCGTATGGGGACGATGTTATGAGCATTGCTTGGCTATTTGTTTTTTTAAAAGATGTTTCGCCCCAAAGCCCCCTGTAGGGGGACATGCCCGACCTAAGTGTTGAAGTCCTTTTGGGGCTTTCCGATGGCTTTCTCGGAGGCCTTTCTGGCTCTTTATAGGGCCTACACCCCATGTTGGCAATCCGAAGCGGCCACCAGAATGCTGTGTAAAACATGTGTTTCGTTACAGTGGGGGCGCGCATCAAGAAACCATATGCTTTGCGTAGGGGTATCCTGGGTTTCTTCGCTCCTCTCGCTGCGCGGTGACTTTCCGCAGCCGTTGAAGGAGCTGCTGCGTTCAGGGTGCTCCGGGTTTCCTCTCAGGTGCACCTCGCGCACGGGTTCTCAGGGTTTGGTTTTCTTCGGGGGGTTCTTGCGGCCGCGCTCGCACTGTGCACTTGGGAGCCGGGGTCCCGGGGATGTCCAACGCGGGAGCCCTTTTACCTGAGCAGATTGAGGGGAGGGGATGTCTGGAGCGGGAGTCTCGTCTGCGAGCGAGTCGCGAGGAAGTCTCGAGGGGGCTCCCCTTCCCTGTGGGTCCCCCGCCTCGCGTTGGCATATCTCGTCGCGGCCATCGGCATGCCGGGAGAGCCCCGGCCCCGTGGACGTCTCCGGCGTGTGCCTTTGTCCTGGGCACCGTTCCGGGGATGCCAGAGGCGCTCGGGCGCTCGGCGCTCGCCTGCGCAAGGGGGGTCGCGATGGAGTCTCGAGCGGAGAGCCTGGCCTCCCTACAGCGCCGGTTTTAATACGTGCTCCGCGTGCGGACCATGTATTAAGAATAAAGGGTTGATTAATAAGTACAAGGATGAGTTTATGCATACATTGATTCATACATGAATCATGGAGTAAACATCTCGTATTTTTCTTACAAATCCGATGTATTAAAATTTGCCCTGCACGGACCCCCCGCTTCCTGCTACGAGTCCGAGGCGGCCAGCAGGATTTCCCGTGGAAGCACAGGTTTGGTGGCGCGTGGGAGGCCGAATCTTCCTGCTGTCGAGCGTCCTTCACAGTCCGAGGCGGGCATCCTGATTCAAGCCTGTAAGCTTCGGCAGGGACCAGCAGGTGCCAGACAGGAAGAGGACCTCCGTAGTTGCAAGGACGCCGATGAGGATCACTCCCAGATTAGTTTGGGAGATTATCGTATGGGATATTTTTGCCCCGCCATCGCTTTCCCGATCGACGTTCGATACATGCCCCTGTTGCTCCCCCCCACTCGGGACACAAGGGGGGGCAGAGCAGGAGTAAGGGTCCCGATGCCAGATCTTTATCCATGGCCCCCGCTTCGGCCCCTCGTGGGGAAGAGGCGTGATGGGGGCACGGATGAATCGTGGATCCTCGATCCCGACCGGCCTCCCTGGAGTTCTGCTGAGGACCTTGAGGCCTCCTGAGGGCTCCGATACTCATCTCTCTCGATCCTCCTTCTCGAGTCTCGATCCGTCTCCTCAATCGCCCAGAGGATGTGTGGTCGGCGGCCGCAGCGAGGATCTCCCCGCCAGGTGCAGGATGGAGAGTCGACACCACCACCACCAGAGGGGCCACCTCCGGCGAAGAGATCCGAGATGCCCCCCCGAGCTGGGGACAGCCAGGGCGGCCTCCACCGCCGGTGGCCCCTGGCAGTGGCGGTGTCGCTGTCGCTGCTCCCCGGACCTGCGTCTCGCTCTTGTCGCGGGACCTGGCCCGGGACCCTCACGCCAGTGGGCTTTCGACGACGCGTGCGTCGGCACGTTTCCAGCGCGAGGTGCGCCGAGGCGCGCCGTTTTGGGGGGACGACCTCGGCCGACCGCCAATCGGCGACATGGTCGGTCGGCGCCCCCCGAGTGCCACCGTGGGTGGAGCTGAAGGCCGTCTCGGGAGATGCAGGGGGCCACGTGCGAACCCTGCCCCTGCCCCCCACGATTTTTCCGAGGGGGGGGGGGGGGTCACTTCGCTCGGGAGCTCCCGAACGAGGTGGACCCCACCCTCCCCCTCCGAAATCGTGGGGGGCAGGGGCAGGGTTCGCCCGTGGCTCCCTCGCCTCGGGAGGCGCCCGCTCGAAGAAGCGCCGGCACGGGCGGGAGCTCCCGGAGGTGCGCGCGGAGGGCCCTTCTAGCTCGGCGCGGCGTTGGGGGGGCCCCACCTCGGGCGCACTATCCGCGCACCAGTTGAGGGGGGGCACTCCGCGCCGAGCTGGCAGTGCACGGCGCGGGCCTCTCGGAGGGTGCCGTGCACGTCGGCGCCTCTTTCTCTGGCCGTGGCGCCGGCCTGGAGCCGGAGGGCATCGCAGGCCTCACCATTTCGATTGTGGCGCCGGCCTGGAGCCGGAGGGCATCGCAGGCTTCACCGTTTCGTTCGGTGTGGTTGGTGTCACAGGCTGACGGGCTCTGGCGCGGGGATCGTGCTCAGATCCTCTCTCCTCTCTCTCCATCTCTCTCTCTCTCTCATCCCGCCCTCTGTGCCTCCCTCCCCCTCGTCTCTGTCTCTCTCTCTCTCTCTTCTCTCTCTCTCTCTATTCCATATCTCTCCATAAGTGTGTATATATGTGATATCTCTCTCTTGTTCTCTCTTTCCCTCTCTCTTTTCTCCCTCTCGTCTCTTTCAACATGTTTCGTGTATCTTAGCTCAAACATTCTCTTTATCTCGCTCTCTCACTCTCTGTCTGTCTCTCTCTCTCTCTTTATTTATCTTTACCTTTGTTGTGTTTGTTCTCTCTCTCTCTCGCTCTTTGCTGATCTCTCTCTCTCTCTCTCTCTGTGTCTCTTTTATGTTTCTCCCCCAACTCTCCTGTGGAGTTGGGTCCTTGTTTTAAATTCGCAGCGCCACACGTCTTCCCCATCTCCTTCTCCTTCTCTTCCTCCTTGATATCAATCACTTCCCTCACACGGTTCGTACCCCCTCGGGGAGCTCCACCGAAGGCCCCAGCGATGGCTCTAGAAGTGCATGAGGCCTCATCCTCCTCCTCTCTTTGCCTTTTCGCCTGTTGGCAGGCCCCCAACACGTTTCGTGGCCCCACTGGGAACTCCACCGGAGGGGCCAGCGGCAGGGTTCGCATGGGCACCCGCCCCATTCCGGCAGGCCCCCCGTACACAATTTGTGACCCCATAAGGGGCCCCACCGAGGGCCCCAGCGGCAGGGTTCACATTGGCACCCGCCCCACATCCGCAGACCCCTCGCATGTTTGCTAGCCCCAGAGGGAGCTCCATCGAGGCCCGCAGTGGCAGGGTTCACATGCGTGCCCGGGTCTATACCGGCAGCCCATCGCACGTTTCGTGGCTTCACAGGGCGCTCCACCGAGGGCCCCAGCGGCAGGGTTCACATTTGCTGCCCGCCCCATTTTGCCCACACGCCTCGTGGCCCCACATGGGAGCTCAGAGGCAATGCTCACACGGGTGCCCGCCCCACGTTGGCAGCCCCCGTTACGCTTGTCCTGGCCTCCTAGGGAGCTCCACCGAGGGGACCGTGGCAGGGTCTACATGCGTAGGCGGCTCCATTTCGGCAGACACCTTACACGTTTCGCGGCCCCATAGGGGGCTTCACCGATAGCCCCAGTGGCAGGGTTCACATGGGTACCCACCCCACTTTGCTCACACGTTTCGTGGCCCCATAGGGGGCTCCACCGATAGCCCCAGAGGCAATGCTCACATGGGTACCCGCCCCATTTTGGCAGCTCCCTTTACGCTTTTCTGGCCTCATAGGGAGCTCCACCGAGAGGCCAGTAGCAGGGTTTACATGCGTAGGCGGCTCCATTTCGGCAGACACCTTACACGTTTCGCGGCCCCATAGGGGGCTGCACCGATATCCCCAGTGGCAGGGTTCACGTGGGTACCCGCCCCAGTTCGGCAGACCCCTTACACATTTCGTGGCCCTATATGGAGCTCAATCGAGGGCCCCAGTGGCAGGGTTCACATGGGTACCCACCTCATTCCGGCAGACCCCTCAAACGTTTCGTGGCCCCGTAGGGGGCCCCACCGAGGCCCCAAGTGGCAGGGGCTCGCATGCGTACCCGCCCCATTTCGGCAGACCCCTCATACGTTTCGTGGCCCCATAGGGGAGCTCCACCGATGTCCCCAGTGGCAGGGTTCACATGTGTACCCAGGTCCATTTTGGCACACACTCCACACGTTCCATGGCCCCATACGGAGCTGCACCGAGGGCCCCAGTGGCAGGGGCTCGCATGCGTACCCGGGTCCATTTCGGCACACCCCTCACACGTTTCGCGGCCCCATAGGGAGCCCCACCGAGGGCCCCAGTGGCAGGAGCTCGCATGCGTCCTCGCGCCCGCTTTGGCACAGCCGTTCTCGCGCACCGGCCCTCGCCCTCTCACGCTCCGCGCCGCGTGCACGGCCCGCTTCTCGCGTGCAGTGCGTGTGGCGCGAGCGTGTGCCGAAGCTGTTCCGACGTGCTTCTGGCGAAGCTGTCAGGGGCACTGCGGAGCATTCTGACCAGAGCTCTCGTGCACGGAGGGGCCTGATGGGTCGCTTCCACGTCCGCAGGATGGGCTAGGTCCTTCGCCAGGCTTCGCCAGGTTTTTTGGTTGCTGTTGTTGTTCTCTCTCTCTCTCTCTCTCTCTCTCCCTCTCCCTCCCTCTCCCTCTCTCTCTCTCTTGTCTCCACTCCATGAATGTATTTATGCACTGGATTGCTGTCTCTCTCTCTCTCTCTCTTTCTCTCTTTCTCTCTCTCTCTCTCTTTCGCTCTCTCTCTCTCTCTCTCTTTCTCTCTTCCTCCCACAATTTAAAGCAACGGGACTTCTTGAAATGCGGTGGCGTGGGGTTCCACAAAATTTGCTTGTTGCTACCATGGTTGTTGGCTTGCTTGCCACTCGTATCACCAAGCCCTGTGACGGCACAGTGAGCCTCTAGGTGTTGCCGCGACTTGTGGGCCACCTCCTCCATCATCATTTTGATACTCCCAGTAGTCGTTCCCCACACGCCTGCTTCTCATGATCATCGTAATACGAACCCCCACCATTGTTCATCATTGCCATCCCGATCTACCTGATTTTCTGGATCCTCCTTCTCCTCATCTTCACCTCCATAATCACCCCATTCACCTATCCCTTCCTCAGTTTGTCCACCCACTTCTGCACCCGAACCACCTTGCTGCCCACAGCCTCACGCTCACAACCCGCTGCTTTCAAACGTCCTGACCCTGCTCGCCATCACCGTGGCCGCCGAATAGCCCCTCCTCTTCCTCGGCCCTGCTCGTCCTGCTCACGATTCGGCGGCGAGCCCCAGGGGGGGGACGGGAGAGGGGGCGGGCCTCCCCAGGAGGCCGGCGGGGCTTCTCAGAAGCCCTCCGGCTTTCCGAGGCGCGCTCTGCGCCTGTTCCGAAGACAGAGCTGGCTTCCCAGGAGGCCGTCGGGCTTCTGAGAGGCCCCGTCGCCTTCCCAGAAGGCCCGCCCTCTCTCGTGTCCCCCCCTCGGGTCGCCGCCGAGCAACATCGCAATCATCAGCAGCCTCGCTCTCGCGCTCTCTCTCTCTCTTTCTTCTCGTCGTGTGCATGGGCGCGTTGGGAGCTGCGAAGGCACTCCAGCCGCAGCCCCGGGGCCGCGATGGCATGCAGTCCAACCTTCTCACGGCGCTCTTTCTTGCGCCCATCCCCCCCCCCTCTCTCTCCCTGCCTTGTGTCTAGATTTACATAAAGCATAACCTTTATATATATATATATATATACACATCTGTGTGTGTATGGATTTGTTTACCGATCTATATAGGTGTATGTATGTATGCATGTGTATATATATATAGAGATATCAGTATAGAGCTGCCTGCGGCAAACGGCGCCACCGTGCCTGTGCAACAGCGCAGCAGGAAGGAGGCCGAATGTAGGAGCAGCACAGTTCTGACCTCGTCTGTGTCGGGTAGGTTGGAAAGAGGTCGACGTGACGCCCCGCGGGAATCTTCGTGCGAGCGGTCTGAACTGGGAGGGTTCGTGATCTCGCTCTCGCCTTCGTCCGCGAGTGATTGAATCGTGCCCGAACATCCTGGCACTTCGACCGCGAATCCACGTAGCTGCTGCGCACTGGCAGTCCTACACCGTGCCGAAGCACCGTTTCTGGGACGTCAGCCACAGGAACCCCTGAACTGGCTGTGACATCTGAACACGAGGGGGCGCGGCACTGAGGGGAGAGCCACACATTGAAAAGGTATTGCCCTCCATCCGTGAAGCTCTCGAAAATTTGCGAACGAATGTGCACGGTGCTGAGGGGAGAACCAGTTTGAAAAGGTACCGCCTTCCATTCGTGAAGTATTTGCGAACTGTTTGGGGGACTGTGCGCAGCACTGAGGCGAGAGCCACATTTTGAAAAGGTCCAGCCCTCCATCTGTGAAACGGGTGCAAAGTTTGGAACTAATGTGCGCGGCGCTGAGGCGATAATCACATTTTGAGCATTTACCGCCTTCCATCCGTGAAGCATTTGCAAGTTTTTAGGACGCATGTGCGCTTCGCCGAGGCGAGAGCCACAATTTGAAACACAGCCCGCCCTCCATCTGTGAGCCCCTTGCAAACTTTTAGGAGGAATGTGCGCGGCGCTGGGGCGAGAGCCACATTAGAAACATTGCCTGCCTTCCAGCCGTGGAACTGTTGCTAATTTTCAGCTTCAGGGTCATACATTGTGAGGAAGTCTCAGACGAAACTCCCAGTCCGCCCTACCTACCGACACGTCTCTGGGTGCGACCAAGGAACCGGGACGGATGAGCAGGAGAAATGTATAATATGGAGACGACGATGCCAAGGCTTCTTGGGACCCTCTAGGGACGTCCTGAGGGTCGTCTGCCTCTTGGGGGCCTCTTGGAGGTCTCTTGGGAGCCTCTTGGGGACTCTTGGGCAGTGGTCCGTCGGACGCCTTCTGAGGCCGTCTTGGGGGCTTCTCTGGGCCGTCTGGGTGCCTTCTTGGAGCGCTCTGAAGCCGTCTTTGGCCCTCTTTCGAGCCCTCTTCGGCGATCTCGGGGTCCTTTTGGGCCGACCTCGGGCTCTCTTCGGGGCCTCATGGGCTGTCTTTAAGCTGATTATCTTGGATGCCTCTTTGGTCATCCTGGGCGGTCGCAAACCCAAACATGCGAGAACATCAAAACTTCCTCGAACACCTCCAGGCAGTCAGTGCTTCTTACCTCCTCGGGCTCTCCTGTGGCGCCTCTTGGATCTCTCTTGGGATGTCGTGGAGGTCTCTTGGATACGTCTTGGTCTGTCTTGAGCCCGTCTTGACAGCCTCTTGGCCCACCTTTGGCCACCTTGGTGTTATCTTCGCTTTTTTGAAAGCTGTCTTGGAGGCCATTTTGTCCGTCTTGAGGCCGAAACGAACGCCAGAGAGCAAGTTCAGAAGGGGGCGCTTTTTGTTGTGTGTGCGCGTGTGTGTGTATGTGTGTGCGTGTGTGTGCGTGTGTGCGTGTGCGTGTGCGCGCGTGTGTGTGTGTGTGTTTGTGTGTGTGTGTGTGTGGACTGTGTGTTGTGTACGTGTACACGTATGTTTTTGAGGGTTGGTCGGTGCGAGGGACGGGTCGGCCCAAGAAAGCACAAAGACACGTTACGAGAGACGGCGGGCGAGCATGACCAAACGAGCGCTAGCAAGATAAGGTCTGTACAATGCGTTAGTCCCAACGGGGGGTGCCCGGGGGGGGGAGGCCCGGGGGGGGATGGGGGGCGGACGAGATTTCTTACATTCGGGGGCGGAAAGGGGGGGATGTCATGGCGGGGGCCATGATATTTTCCTAGATTGTATGGCGCCTCTTCTTATTTCATTACGTCCCTGCCCCCCCCCGCTGGGCCGCGGACATGCCGCCGTCCATGATTTGAACCCCCCCTCTTGGACGCCCCCCTCTTGGCCGCTCCCGATACACGCCCTCAGAGGACATGCTGGCGGCTTTTTCGGCCCAGGACGGCTCAAGAGACCCCGGAGATGCCCCCAAGACGGCCTAAGATACCTCCAAGACGGCCCAGGAGCGGCCCTAGAGATCCCAAGACGGCCCAAGAGCGCACCCGCGGGGCCCAGAGGGCCCAAGATGGGCCCAAGAGGCCCCCCCCAGACGCCCCAAGGGTCCTACGAGGACTTACTTCCAAGATGGCCTCGGGAGGCAACAAGATTTGCTTAGGTTTCTGACGGATTTGCAAATGATTGCTTCTTCTGACCAAGAAGTGCCCAAGGGGGCTCTGGGGGCCTCGAAGATCGCCCGAAGAGGCTCCCAAGAGGGCTTCGGGACGGCCCAAGAGGAATCCAAGGCGGCCCAACAGCACTCCAAGACAGCCCAATGAGAGCCCAAGAGCGCTCCAAGAGGCTCCCAGCACAGCTCCAAGAGGGTTCGATGCCCCCACGAAGGCCCAAGAGGTCCTTGAGGGGGCCCCAAGACGGCCCTAGCCGACCCAAGAGTGCCCATGACGGCCCAAGAGGGCCCAAACAGGCCCCAAGAGGACGCCCAATCCGGCCCAGAGCGGCCAAAGTCGTTGGATTTCAAGGCCTCTAAGACGCCCCCGTAGAGGACCCCAGGAGACCCGCAGAGGTATCAAACACGCCTCGCACCCACAAGTTGGGCACGGTGGCGGTATTTGCCGATGGTCGCTGTAGACATACATGTGTATATATATATATATATATATATATATCTAAACACCAGTGACATATATATAGAGAGAGAGAGAGAAAGAGAGAGAGAGAGAGCGAGAGAGAGAGAGACATATAGAGAGAGGTCATACAAAACATGCTACTTGAATCTGTGTGTAGGTATTGACATATACACATACATACATATGCATCGGCTCGGAGCTACGCTTCTCGAGCGACAGTGGCAATCGACAGCTGCGGCTTCTGCGAGCGGTGCTCCGTGAGGTTGGTCGGCTCGCGCGGCATCAGAAACCAGAACCTCAGAAGAGGAACAGGTATCCATGCCGCTGCCTTTCGCTCGTTTTCCCCTTCTTGGGCCTCCTGGGGGGCCCTCGTCGCCACCGCTGGATTCGCCCCGAAATTCTGGTCAGAACGCATCCTGGGAGAGGTCAGGGGAGTATCGGGATCGGTATCGGTACGTTTTGGGTTCCCCAGCACCGACGACGTTGTGGCAAGATGACGCTGGCAGTGTGTTGCATGATCGGTGCACGGCATCGGCAGTGGATGTGCTGCACCCACAGGCCTCGTTGACGCGGCGGCGATGCCGGCGTGGGCGTTCGAGGTCGGACGCCGCTTGTGGCCGGGAGGCGGCTGGTGTTGGACGACGGGCGTGTGGGAGAGACGACACTGACCAGAAGACCGGATGGGAGGAGGCCTTGAGGCCCGCCCACAGACAGCCAAGTGACGGACGCACAGTTAGGCGAGTCTGTGGCGTGAAAAGCTGTGAACGCCAAGTCACCGAAGAGGTCGAGCAGCTCCAGGTGACGTGAGACGTTCTGAACGCCAAGGCTCCCAGTACGGACGATGACGTGGAAAGCGTATCTCGCCAAGGCTCCGAGTACGAACGATGACGTAAAGAGCTCTGACCGCCAAGGCTCACATAACGAAGCATGGCGTGGAAAGCTTTTATCGCCAAGGCTCCCAGTACGATTGATGACCTACAGAGCTCTGAACGCCAATGCTCCCAAGAACGAACGTTGTCGTGAGCCATATCGGGAAAGTTCCTGAGAGTGATCTTTCCGTTCCCGTGCTGGTCCAGGTTCTAACACGCCCATTCCGTGCAAGCACGGGGTGACGGATACTCTCTTTCTTTTAATGCATTTACCCGTCACTAAACGCAATTCCATATATCAGAACTTTGCAGAGAAGAAGCCTTGCGATGCTGGCTGCTGGCTGTGGTAGCAGGCGTGGCGGAAAAAAGTATCGAAGTGAGGGCAGACTAGCAGCGGGTAATGATACCTGTAATGATCCGTCACCGTGCCGCGATGGAGTGTCTTCAGGTCCCTTGGAGTCCCCCGTCCTTAGTCTTGAGTGAACGGGTATTACAGGGCCCGGATTTCGAATTACTGGATTTCCTGTGGTTTCCTGTGCCTCTCGGGTTTGGCGCTGTTCTCGCGTGTTCTCGCATGCTTTGCTCCAGTCCAAGGGGGCACCCTATCACGGGCCAAGAGGGCCCCGCGAGCCCCCCGACACGGTCAGAGGGGGCGCCGCTTCGCAGGAGAGGCGCCGCAAGACGCCCAAGGTGGCCTCCGGACGGCCGGGAAGGCCCCAAGACGCCCCAGGACCCCTCCCCCAGCCCCCTCTGGCTGCCCCCCCCCCGCGTCTGTTCCTGCGTCTGCTCCCCCCCCTGCGCCTGCTCCTGCGTCTCCCCCCCCCCCCCCCCCCCTGTAGGGGGCCACATGTGAACCCTACCCCCCCTACCCCCCACGATTTCTGAGGGGGAGGGTGGGGTTTACTTCGTGGTCCCCTCGGAAATCGTGGGGGGTAGGGGTAGGGTTCGCGTGTAGCCCCCTACCCTGGTCCCCCCCCCCCTCCCCCCCTGCGTCTGCCCCTCGCGACCTCCCTGTGGCGAGACAATATTTATTGTCTTGGCCTCCGGCCAGGGCCGCCAATCCGGGGGGCTCTGGATTCGGTGATCTTCGCGGCTCTGTGGCCTCCTCCCTCCTCGATTCTTCTGGTTTTCTTTCTTCTCCTTTCGGGGGGGTGCCTGGAGCGGTCCCGGAGGGGGTCCTGGGAGGGTTCCGAGGGGAGGGTCCTGGGGACGGTAACGGCTAGATCTGAGGGGGGTCCCTGGATCCCCCGAAACGTCTTGGGGATGCGCAAATCATTCAGAACACGCCAGATGGGGGACCAACCCCCGTCCCTCCCTTCCCCCCTTTCCCCAGGGGGGGGGTCCGGATGCTCAAATCATGAAGAAATCGCCAGATGGGGGACCGCCCCCCCCCCCCTTTCCCCCCCTTCCCTGGCAGAGCAACCCCAGCGATACCCCCAAGCAGATCTGAAGCTCTTGCTTAGGCTCAGAGCTGAAGATCTTACTGAATCTTTCATGTCGTCGTCGTCGTTGTTGTGTGGCGGCTGCCGCGGAACAATATTTATTTGCCCATATTGGTGGGGCCCCGGTCCGTCAATGAGGGCGTCAAACGGTGAGAGGGGGTTCTCAAAACCTCCCCTAGTGAAGTGGGGGATGAAAACAAGAGCCCTAAAGGGGCCCTTCAGGACATCTTTTCCATGGGCTGCGTTGGTGTCCAGGATGCCCCTTTCCCTCCTGCCCATATCGCCGACGTTTCTGTGGGGGGACCCAGACAACGACCGACCGAGACCCCCGATGTCTTGAAGAGATCAAGGCGGAGGCTGTCTATCATTTGCAGCCTTCGCTCGGAGGGCTGGTGGAATCTGACCCCCCAGAAACGCTTGCGGTCTGCTCGCGTCGGACGCGGTGGCGAGCCCAGTGCGGAGTTCCCGTGTCCAGCGCCGCCAGTGGCCCAGAACCAGCAGACGTGGGACACTCTGGCGATCCGGAATCCGCCGATCGCTCAAGGTTGAACGGTCCACACGGTGCCAGAACAAGAACCCATGCCGGGGTCGCCACGACGCGCTTCCGCCGCAGGCGGCACGCTTCCGCCGCAGTCTTCGGGCGCCGCGCTCGATCGGCGCCACCCCGGCATGCTGATGCCACCCGTGAGTGCGTGGCCCCCCGCCCCCACCCACACCCCCCAGGGGCGACTCGCGCGCCGAGGGGCCTCGTAGTGCAAGCTGCGTGGCGGGTGCCCTCGGGCCGCACCGCTCCCGAAGCAGTCGATCACGGGGTGGCTGTTCTACATGTTTGTGTCGGTCGCGCGCCCCTAAGCAGGGCAAGTAGTACTACAGTACGTCCTTCTGCGTCCCGCTCGGCTTCAATCGGCGGCGAGCCTGGGGGAGAGGTGAGAGGGGGCGGGCCTTTTCAGGAGGCTCGGAGGTCCCCGGGCCTCCGGGGAAGTTTTCTCTCCAGCCTTCTCCGAAGACGCAGAACACCTTTTTTTCAGAAGGCCAGAAGGCCTCTGAGGAGCCCCGCCGCCCCCCTGAGAAGGCTTTTTCTCCTTCTCACTTCCCCTCCTCCCTCGCCGCCGACTAGCCTCGGCGCGCCCGCGCCGAGGCGGGCCGGAGCTCCGCGCGCGGGGTCGGAGCCCAGCGCATCCCGCGGCCGCCGCGGGCACTCCGCGGGAGGCGTGGCCTGGTCGAGGGGGAAGGACGAGCCGCGACCTCCCCCTCCCCCTCCCCCTCCTCCCCCTCCCCCTCCTCCTCCTCCTCCTCCTCCTCCTCCTCCTCCTCCTCCTCCTCCTCCTCCTCCTCCTCCTCCTCCCCCTCCTCCTCCTCCTCCTCACTCGCCGCCGAAAAGCACTGGCACGTCTCGCTGCGCCCTCCCGGCTCCAGGCCAAGACGCGCGCAGCTCTCTCGGCGACCGGCCCCCGCACCGCCCCAGCGACCCCCCCTCCGGCGGCGGCCATGCCGCGCGCCCCCGGCGCCCTCGGCGGCGCTGCCGGCAGCCTGCCGCTGCCCCTGGGATGGCTCAGCTTTTTGTTTGTCTTTCCCACCGAGCGCGTTCCGCTATTCGCCGAGTACCTACTCGCAAACATTTGGACAAACACATGTCTTCCCCTCTATAGAATGGATCGTAAGTTCCACTATTCGCAAAGTACTATTGGCTTTTTGTTTTTCTTTCCCACCCGGCGCGTTCCGCTACTCGCAAAGTACCTGCTCGCAAACATTTGAAACAAGCACGTGTTTTCTCCTCTATATCATGGATCGTAAGTTCTACGTGGCGGATGCAGGCCATGTGCGAGCCGTTCCTTTGCGAGTAGTGGGACGCTTTTCTCTACTTTCCGGGGGGGGAGGGGGCATCCATCTGTTTCTTTGCATCTTCGGGGGGGCCTTTCCTATCCTGCGAGTGGCAGTGTTTTCGGAGGACCCTCTGTCAATGGCAGTCTTTTTCTCGTACTCCGACATGGCTTCGTCGCGGATTCGACGCGGATTCGACACAGATGCAACACGGATTCGACACGGATTCGATGCGCTCGACATGTATTCGACACGGATTCGACGTGGATCGCGGCGCAACGTGACAGACCAGGTCCCCCGAAGATGCAGCACAACATTTGCCACCAGGACGCCCAAGATGGCCTCCAAGGCGGCCCCCAAGACGGCCCAAGGTGGTCTAAGAAGACTGCTTTCCCAGGCGATTTGTCCCCCCCACTCCTCGGGCTCTGCCCGAACAGTTTGGCCACTCAGAAAGGGGAAGGCCCTTGGATACACCCAAAGGGGCTATTCGGACGCACCGCTGTCGAGGATATGGACGCCCCTCGTCCGGGGCGGGGCCCCAGATGCTCGGTCCACTCGAAAGCCTCCCAAAGCCTGGGACAGGGGTCGACGTGTCCCCCGTTGGGCCTTCGGGACTGCCCGAGAGGCCTCCGAGACGGCCCAGGATGGCCTCCAGGGCGGCCCACGCTGGCTTCAGGACGGCGCGAGACGACCTCCAAGGCCTCGCTGCTGCCTCAGGGCGCCGAGGTCGAGGAGTAGGCCCCGGACCTCCTCGCGCCAGGGAAAAGAAACGATCACGACAACCTAAGCCCGCCGAGCTGTGTTGGCCGGGAGGGGGGCTATTTCGAAGGAGAAGAATGATTCAGAGGATGAGGAGAATCACGTAGCACCCCGCGACGTCGGCAGTCTGCGAGGCTCGGAAGAAGCCCGCCGCAGGCGCCTAATTTTCGGCAATTCATAGAAAGAGCCCGCCGCAGGCGCCGATTGTTCGTTAAAGCAGTGGGTCGCGGGGTGGGTCGCCGGTGGGTCGCGGGTGGGTCGCGGTTGGGTCGCTGGGTGGGTCGCGGGTGGGTCGCGGGGTGGGTCGCGGGGTGGATTGCGTGTGGGTCGCGGGTGGGTCGCGGGTGGGTCGCGGGGTGGGTCGCGGGTGGATCGCGGGTTGATCGCGGGTGGGTCGCGGGTGTGGTCGCGGGGTGGGTCGCGGGTGCGTCGCGGGTGGGTCGCGGGCGGGTCGCGGGCGGGTCGCGGGGTGGGTCGCGGGTGGGTCGCGGGCCGGGTCGCGGGGGGGACGACGCCAAACAACGGCAACCACAAGAATCCGCATCGCGGATCCGTTTCAGCCACGCGCCCAGGGACAGTGAATGACCGTTCGACCTTTTCACTCTGATAATAAGAAAACGTTGCATGAACATGCACTATTCGACAGTCTGTGCGGATTTCTTGGATCTGCGCTTGGCGCGCTCCGTGCGCCAGGGAGGGGGGTCAGCGCAGATACACGAAATCCGCGCGAACCGTCGATTTGTTTCGTTCATTTTATGTAGCCAACCCGCATCAGCCCGCTCTCGTTGGCCGCGCCCCTCTCGCAAAGTGTCGACATGGCCTTCCCAGGTCACTGCATCCTCACCGTACGTCCCAACTATACGGGATGACTGTACTGTCTTCCTCTACTCTCTGCTGGCCAGGGGGCGCCGCGGTCGAGGAGCAGGCCCCTGACCTCTGCAGACGAACTTGCGGCTTGACAGCAGGAACCCTCGCCGCCGCGGGGAAGTCCGCCGAAGGCCGGCGACGCGGCGGGGGCCGCGCTGAAACCTTGCCTCAAGGGAGGAAAAACCACCCAGACAGGACAATCGGCGTCCACTCAACGGCCCTGGGCGTCTCCTAAAAGCCCTGCCCTGTTCGATTCCTTCCTTGGGTGCGTTTACTAAAAGGCCTCGCTTGTCGGGGTGGTTATGATGGGGGTTATGATGCTCCAACCTACTTTAGCCTTGATTGCCAGGAAGAACTTCGAGCGGCAGAACAAGTACCGAAATTCAAGGGTTTTCACGTGTCGGGCCCTGGGAGACACTCGCCCGACACTGTTTTGACACTGTTTCGACACTGTTTCGACAATCCTTTGACACTTTTCCGGGTGCTCAAATTATTTCTGGGATGTGGCCCTCAAGTAGGATGGGAACAACAGAAGATGGGGGTGGGTTTTTGTTTGCCTTCTCATGCCAGCAGCCACGACCGCAGGCATTGAGCTCGCGGGCGACGCCTCGCCCCGAGCGGCCTGGCGTTCTGGCGGGGCTGCGGGCAGACCCCCCCCCCCCCGCAGGGCAGTGCCGGCCCGGCCGGCCTCCACAGGCCCCCCCAAGCGGAGGGCTCCCGGCGGGCGCCATGGGGGCCTCCCGAGCAGTCCGGGGCGGCTTGGGCACCCCAACCTGTCGGAGGGGGGGAGACTCCGGGGAGGAAGAGGTACCCATGCCTCTGCCCTTTCCTCGTTTTCCCCTCCGTGGGCCTCCTCGGAGGCCCTCGCCGCCGCCGCCGGGTTCGCCTCGAAATGCTGGTCAGAACGCCCCCCGGGAGAGGTCCGGGGCGTCGCGGTATCGGTACCTCGTGGTTTCCCCAGAGACGCGACAGCAGCACCACCAGGGGGGCCACCTTCAGCGAGGAGGTCCACGAGGCCTCCCCGATCTGGGGATGGGGGACGTCTCGAGCGGGAGGGGGGGGGGGGTACCACACCACCAGGGGGGCCCCACTGGCTCCTCGCAGCTCCTCGCCCTGGTTGTGCTGGTGTTGCTTCTTCTTCTTCTTCTTCTTCCCAACCCGGGGCCCGGAGCGCCCCGGGACGCGAATCCAGAAAGTTGGCGCCACTTGATTCTTGAACAGCGGTGGCATGAGCTCGAGGCCAGACCTTTGCGGGTGTCGCGCTGGGCGTTGGGTGCCTTGCGCGCCCGTCCTCTTTCGGCGGGGCAGCTGCGCTGATGCGGCGTCCGCCTGTGCTTCTGTCTGTCCACGCGGTCCCTGGAGCATATTTTTGCGCGGGCCTCAGAAGGTTTGCGTTTACTTACTTGTTTTGTCATCCAGACTTGACAGCCAGCCCTTGACCCTGAGGCCCATAGCTAGCCTTCCCTCCAGCACGGCACGTGTAGAATGTCGGACGGGTGTCTCCGTCTGATGGTGCTAGCAGGCCGCAGCGGTGCTCGCGTGCGTGCGGTGCTCGCGTGCGTAAGGTTTCGCCCACCGATTGCTCGCAACGCACACAGGGCTGGGACATCGAGCGTCTCGTGTGTCGGCCGCGCGCAGAATGGGGTCGGGGGAGGGGTGAAGGCTCCTCAGAACCCCCCTGCTTCTTAGAAGGCGCGGGCCTTGTCCACAGGTGCAGGGCTGGCGCCTTCTGAGAAGCAGCCTCCTTCCAAGAAGGCCTCCAGCCTCCCCCTGCCCCCGTGTGCGCGCCGCCAGGTGTGGGCGCGCGCGCACGAGGCCGTGCGTATGACTGTGGTGCCCGGCGCGCCAGGTCCTGCACACACGCGGGCGGGCCCGCTCGCCTGTGCGCGCCCCCCGGGCCTGCATCCCCACCCCCCCGCCTTGTTACCACCAGTAGCCCCAGAGGAAGCAAGCAGTACATCCCCCTGGAGACTTTTTACCTAACAGCGAAGACTGATAGGTTTCTAGTGGTCTCAAAAGAGAGCAGCAGATGACTCCACAGGGGGGTCTGGGCGGGTGCCGGACAGGGTGCCGCAGAACTCATTTTAAGCCAACAGTCACACACTTCGTGCTCTTCGACTTCCCAGAACTCCATTCCCGGGCCACATTCTGAATGCCCGGAGCCAACTGTAGGCCACTTCGTGCTCTTCGAGTTCCCAGAACTCCATTCCCGGGCCACATTTTGGATGCCCGGAGCCAACTGTAGGCCACTTCGTGCTCTTCGAGTTCCCAGAACTCCATTCCCGGGCCAGATTTTGGATGCCCGTAGCCAACTGTAGGCAACTTCGTGCTCTTCGACTTCCCAGAACTCCCATTCCTGGGCCACACTTTCAGCAGGGGCAAGAGCACGACGAGGAGGAGGACGAGCAAGACCAGGAGGACGAGGACGAGCAGGAGCAGGACGAGGAGCAGGAGGAGCAGGAGAAGAAGGACGAGCAGGAGGAGGAGGAGGACGAGCAGGAGGAGGAGGACGACCAGGAGGAGGAGGACGACCAGGAAGAGGAGGAGGAGGAGGAGGAGGGGAGGGAGGAGGAGGAGGGGAGAGGAGGAGGAGGAGGAGGAGGAGGAGGAGGAGGAGGAGGAGGAGGAGGAGGAGGAGGGGAGGAGGAGGAGGAGGAGGAGGAGGAGGAGGAGGAGGAGGAGGAGGAGGAGGAGGAGGAGGAGGACGAGGAGAGGAGGAGGAGGGGGGTGGGAGAGCACCAGGAGGAGGAGAAACGAGGACCACCAGGAGGAGGAGGAGGAGGAGGAGGAGG